GGTCATTGCAGGTTTTATATGCATATATATATATATATATATACATATATATATATATATATATATATCGTCGAAAATGTCGGTAAAATAAAGCAAATCTTCAAGTCCGTTTCGATTGACCTGGAGCTAATTTCTTAATAAATTCCTTAAATATTTGTTCAAGTTTGGATTCAAAAGGAAAAAGTTGAATAACTCAAGAGTTGATGAAAAAAAAATTTCATGGAATTTCCATTTCTACTTACCCAACGTCAAGGGAAAACGTTCGTAGTGCAGTGAGCCCTGCTGAGGGGAACTGCAGCTATCAAATCTCATCTATTTTTTCTAGATAAATTTTTGAAATAATCAATCCCAACTCAATGGACTGAACAAAAATTGAAGATCTATTATTTGGGAGATGGTCTATTTCTGAACCTGTTTCAGCCATTTTTAGTAAGACTTAAGTACTCAAGTTTAGACACATGATGTTTTACCAACAAATGAAGGAACCTACAGGTTATACTAAGCGGCCTCCGAAAGGCTGATGGTTTTTTTCGAGGAATTCTTTTTCAAGTCCGAAACACACGCGGATGGGTTGACAATCCCTGCCGAGGAACGACCGCAATAAGAAAATTTAGCTTTAATTTTTATTTTAATTAATTTTCACGAGGGTTTGAACCCCAGCACTCCGAATGGCAGTACGCAATGCTAACCACTCGGCTATATAAATTCATGAAAAAACTTCCGATTTCAGAAAGTAATTCTTGGAACAGCATAAAGTTTGATTACAAAATCTTATCTCATATCTGAAACCGATATGTGTTCAATAATCCAATACTATCTCTCTTCCTCTTTCTCTGACCTCTCTCTCTTTCTCTCTCTTTTTCTCTCTCTCAATCTCTCATTCAATTTAAAAATCTCTCAAATGTACTTCCCGCACAATCAACTGCAACGGACTACCTGCCTTGTCCTCTGTCTGTTCGCCTCTTAAGAGAATAATAACGGCACAGCTTACACTTGAAACTCAAAAGGATAACAGAGATATCTGCAAACCATATAGTTTCAAAAGTAATCTAAATTTTGCCTTAATCAAAAATCAAATAATTAAAAGATTTCTGTTTTATTTTCTTGGTACACAAAAAATGAGAGCCTGAAAAGAGCAACGACTCCAGGAAAGACTTGACAAAGCAGAAATGAGTGCCGAAAATCCCACCAAAAACAATACGGAAAATGAGGAAAAACCAGTTATTTAACGTTTAAAAAATATTTTACTACAAAATTTTTAATTATAAATTTTTATGAAAAATTTATTTAAATAATCATAAATTTTTTTTCCGGGCAATGCAGGTCCAATTATTATGTTTATTTTATTTTTTAATGCAAATATCGATAAAAGTGTGCGGGAGAATTATTTTTCAAGATTGGATTGCTCAACTGCAAAGACGTGTTTTTGTATTATGTGGAAGTCAAACCATAAACCTCTTTTGAAGTTTGCTAGGTCGTACTTAGACTTGTTGGTGTTTATAGTGCCAGATGGAGGGTAAATTTAGTTTCAGCTGATGTAGTCGTCGCATAAGGTATCAACGCTGTGTCAAGTTCTCTGCAAATGAAACACGAAAACGAGACTGCTCTCTTTAAGGTCGTATGTGTTCCAACGTCTCACCGGCGATCCTTGTGGGTTATGCTCTCCCATGAAACATACACTCAAGCTGCAGTCTTTTCGAGACCTGCGTGAGCGAGTAATGGGTGCGTTCTCCTTCGTTGCTATTTCTTATGATCTCTGCGCTTTTAGAAGCCATTAAGATCTTCCATCTCACCCTGAGACTTCCACAAAAGTTCAATTGACTGAAATCAATTTCAGTGCGAATCTTTTAGAGGGTAGTGAGTGTTTCGAATATTCACTATTTCGGTGCCGTCATTAAGCTGATAACAACTTTTTCACTCCTCTCAGGGCTCCACTTTTGGGACCACAAATTGAGTGGTATATATATAAGTTAACGCAGCACTTCACAAATTATGAAATGTTCAATAACCCCGTAAGTCCACGATATGCTTCCGGTCAATATAATGACAAACGCTGATTAGGCGTCTGAAGAATATTGCAACAAACAACAGTCAGCAATAATCGACGCAAACAACAGTCAGCAATCAGCTAATCAGAAATTGGTTGTCAGCAAATTAATATTAAGAAGCTAGGTGTAAAGTATTAGTAAGAAATAATTGTTAGTTAGTCTTTAAGTTTGGTGTAAATGAATAAAGCTAAAAGCGGACATAGTCCGCTCAAACTTTTTAAAAAATAAAATAAATGTCGTAAGACTGTAATTTATATAATGGTCTCTTTGTAGCCACTTTATCTACTTCTTCCGCTTCTGAATGTAATACTGTGTGAAATGTGGCCTTATTGATGTTTTTTTTTTTTGTGGCTTCCTGTCGAGTTGGCTAGCTCAGCGGATTTCTTTACCACAAAGAGTTCCGACTGGAAAAGACTGTAATATTTGGAGTTGCCAAATATTTAGATCAACGCAATAAACTCCAGCGCTCAATCCATCATTCACTTTTGATCAACTTGTGCAGATCTGAAGCCCCATTCAATTTCCGCCTCTTTCGTTCTTTCTTAATATCGCTTAAAACCTTATTTTTCATTTAAAGCGTCTAGTTATATAGTCTGATTATTGAGCTAAGCCTGCAGATTGTGGCACTAAATACCTATAACGACAACTGGCGTTTCGCTGAAATGCTATTCTGTGCAATTGAAAGGTTCTCACGTTTTGTCCAGCCGCATAGAAAACACCTAGTTGAGGTCGAATCAATTTGTTGATGATTGGCTTCAATCTCAAAACACAATACACTCGACCAGATCGCTTCACTTTAAGGTTGCAGTCGTCACCCTGCCTGCTGATCGTGCAATCTTATTCTGCTAAGAAACAGGTATTAGACCTTTATCGGCCCTCACCTCCAGCCGTTTTGCTATTCTTTAGGCGGGCAAAAGCTATTCGTTCATCAGATAATGTCAAGACTATATAGCCGACTGCGATTCTTCTTCGCCATATCCCATTGCTTGTATTTGATTGTCATTCCATAGTCTCAGCAGTCATTCAATAACTCGGAATAACCCGCGCATTGGTCACCAAAGACCCCTCTTGTGTCCTAAATGAGTACTCTTCCGTCTTAAGGCCTTCTATACCAGCTTTTGAAGCTTTTCATGCCCATGCATTTTGGTCACTCCCTTTTTCTGTCTGAAACGCGTTCACTTTTACTCTCGCCATGTTTCTTTCACTCTATTTTACTCTCTGTGCGAACGTATTCTCATTGTACCAGCTTTTCTTTCTACCTCGTACAAAAGCAATAATCTCTTTGGCTGCTGCACGAATGGAGCTTAAAATGGCGTCTCACAGCATCCTTAGAACGAGTTGATGAGTGCTCGAAGAGAACAGAAGTGCAAGTCGCCCAGACAGCTGCTGCGCTAGCCTCCATATGAAAACGGCGGATTTAAAAAGAATTCCAGTGACTGAATTTAATAGAATAACCGACCTACACTTCCATATATCTTTTTAAGCTAAGTAAATAAACATGAATGGGTAAGACTCTAGCATTATTCGCTAAGATCATGCCAGAAGCATGAGAAGCAAATAAATCTAAGTAAATAAATTAGCGGAATACAAGCAACAAAACATAACTCGAGCGCAAATAAGAATAAATCAATCGCAAATTGAAATGAAACCTTGGCCTAAATATTTGGTCAATATAACTGTTTTGTCAGGGTGTGTGAATAAATAAAAAGGCAGTCAATCATATTTTGCCCAACATGTGCGGCACAAATGTATATAAATATATATATGTACATCAGATTGCTATAGCATAGTGGCTAAAACCTATCTACAAACACAAAGGCCACAACACACATATATGTATGAGTTCCCCTCTCCCCTGCTATTGTCATTTCTTTCACTCCGCCTTCGCTCTTTCAACGTATTACATTACGATTGAATCTTCTTAAAGTCGCCACTTCCTCTCTTATATAACTGAACTACTCAGTACTGGCGGCATTTTGTGTTCGTGGAATAGCAAATCAAATCACTGTCGCTACCCATAAATAATTTTCCTTGAGGTTGATTTGATAATGTGCTGATAATGAGCTGGTAATTACTACAAACGCATTTCTAATGCTCGCAAATTAACGAAGTTGCCAAGCATGATTATATCGGATAGCCGTAAGCACTCTATCGTTGGTCGTGCGTTTACGACGGAGTAATTGCATGGTAAATTTTGTACAGGTTAAAGTGTAATTCAATTATATTTGTATCATTTATTTAATATCGCCTTGTGCTTATCCAATGGTCTTTTTGGTTTTCTTGCCAAATGTGGTGCGAGACTTTGATAAAATTTTATATATTCGCCTAATTGTAGGCAAGACTTTTTATTATCAAACTAAAATTGCATGTGTGAATTTTAAGCCCACATTCAAAATTTGTAACATTCTCTCAAGAGAAGATTTAACATCCAGCTGCTTTTCATAGGCTTAATCAGCAGACGCTTTATGAATTTCAAAAATAATTTTCACTAAGCAACCGAGTCTTTGAATCAGATCTAAACACAGCAAATAAAATTGAAAAAAAAGAAGAAACCTCTGTCGTATTTTCAAATTAAATTATATTTAAATTTATACGTATATTTTATTGATTTTGATATAAAGACTGAATTTATTTAATCATAAATAAAAGTCTCTTAGCTGTAACTATGCAATTAAAAAAGTGAAATTAAAAATAAATATGCTCATTGGGTGATTCTATTTACTTGCCCAAATAAACAAGTGCTGGCGAGTTTAGTTGCCATTAATTTGTTGACACAATTCAAATTGTCTATGTATGTATGCATGTGTGAGTGCGCAGCTTATAATTGCCCTTATATCTTATGTCATAAAAATAAAAATAATTGTATTTGGTTTGTTACGCTTATTATTATAGAACAGATCTATAAAATATATTTAACTTATTTCTTGTAATTTCCTTTTGCTCTACTTTTAGGCCTACGAATACGAATTGCCGACTTGTTTTTTAAGTTACTAGCATGTGTTCTGTATATATTACGTGTGATAACGGATACGAATCCAACTTTTGCAACGTGGTAAGTGTAATGATGGTAACAAGAAAACAGAAAAGAATTTTAGTTCGTTTGAATTTATTTCATTCTGTCTTTTTTTTATATTTTCATCACATTATTTTGTTTTATTTTATTTTAGTACGTTACGTTTTATATTATCTATCACAAAGTTATTATATTTTACTTTCTTTAAATTTATTTTATTTAATTGAACTTATTCATTTTATTATATTTTATTTAAATTAATTATAATACATTTTATTCACTTTATAATAACTACTTTTATTCTATATTTTTATTTTCTTTTTTTTATTTTATTTTATCTTCCACTTTTTATTTTATTTTAAGGTTTTTTATTGTTTATTTTGTTTTTATTTTATTTAAATTTATTTTACTGTATTTTATTTTCCTTTATTTTATTATTTTAATTCAATTTAATTTACTTTCATTTTGTTTTACTTCAATCACTCTTATTTTATTTTGTTTCATCGTATTTAATTTAATTTTTTTATTTCATTTTGTTTATTTTATTTTACATAATGTTATTATATTTTAATTTAAATCATTTTATTTTATTTCAATTTAACTTAGTTTACTTTATTTTATTTTATTTTATTTTATTTTATTTTATTTTATTTTATTTTATTTTATTTTATTTTATTTTATTTTATTTTATTTTATTTTTCATTATTTTATTTTATTTATTATAGTTTATTTTATCTTACAGCATTTTAATTTCTTTCATTTTTTTAACTTTTATTATATTGTGTAATATTTTATTTTGTTTTATTCTGATTTGTTTATAATAAGAAAAAACCTTTTTTTATTTTTTTCCTGCTTCTCTTTTAGTTATGGCTGCTCAGTGAGCAATAAAACTGAATTTCTCGTTTCGGCCCAATTAACTGAAGAGGAATTTCAAGAGAATCCCATTATAAATTGGGAAGCCATTCTATGGGTAAATCGGCCCACTGTTTTGTGGGCAGCGCAATTAATATTAGCATTAGTATCTCTAACGGAGGCCGTACTACTAACATATCTAGGCTATAAGGTGAGTTAAACATTGCAAATAATAAATGTTAATAAATGAAAGCTAGATGTATGTGTACGCAATTAGGTGTAGGTAATGGAATCTGGTTGTCATTTCTTTATACATTTTTTTAGAAATGTCTTTTATATTTGTATAAATACTTATACTTAAAGGCTATATACTTTTCTTAGAGCTTTTGGTCCATTTTAAATAATTAATTTTTATTCTCTTTTTTCGCTTTGTAGGGAAATATCTGGCAACAGATTCTTTCATTTCATTTCATTCTAGAATTAATTACGACAATACCATTTGCATTAACGGTAAGTAAAATGCTCATATGCAGTTTAGAAAATAATACCAAATATTATTTCCAGCAACGACAGCGTGTGTAGCGTTATTAATTATATTTTCTTCTCCACCCTACAGATACTATGGTCGCCTTTACGAAACTTATTTATACCCATATTCCTGAACTGCTGGCTGGCGAAGCGATCGTTGGAGAACATGTTCGTAAGTAGCTAATACAAAAATTAACATTTAACTGTAAAAAAAAATCATAAAGTCCAAACACTTTTAAATTTTTCTTCATCTTCTTCCTCTTCTACTGCAGAACGATCTGCATCGCGCCATGCAAAAATCACAATCTGCGCTCTCACAACAACTCACCATACTCTCAGCTACGCTACTATGTCTGGTGTTCACAAGGTAACTGATGCAATAAACTTTTAAGAAGTAAAGTAAAATCAGCTAATGGCACATTTTTAATATGGAAATAAAATGGATGATTATAAAAGCTTTCAAAAATCGCTGCCATTACTAACTAACTGAAACTCTTAATGAACGTTTATAACGCATGCACAAGCGCGCGCACTTGTATATCATACAAAAAATAAAGACTACTCAAAAAGCGCTAAAACGTAAAAGTAACCTTACAGGTTTTGGCAAATCTAATTTTAGTACTGCCAAGCACTCATTAACAGCATCAAATAGTCAAACTCAGACACACATGCATTCGCGCGTATCCTTTATAGCTGATGGCTATCGATGTCAATTGCTGTTTTTCGCAATGCTTTCCTCCCCTTTTGATCCTTAACGAGGAGTCATTATTTTGTTACTCATACTTATTAGCTGATTTCCGCTCTTCATCACCCTCGTAATCCCACTTAATGTACTCCGTTCTTCATTTACAGTGTCTGTGGCATACAACATTTTCAACGCGCCGGTCATCGTCATTTGAATTTGTTTCAGAGCACGTATTATGTGGTTGTGACATTCTCAACAGTCGGTTATGGCGATTTCGTGCCCGATATTTGGCCTTCACAGCTTTATATGGTGATTATGATTTGTGTAGCACTTATAGTGCTGCCAACGCAGGTGAGTGTGGCAGGCGTGGACAGCCTGGAGAGACAGGCAACATATCAAAGACATTTGTGAATATTCACGTACATATCTACATACATAATTTCCACACAACACTGGCAAAAGGGTACACCCAATTGGGATGCATATCTACCGTATTGAAATCTAAAATAAATTAAAAAAATTAATGAAAAATACTTTAATATATTAAAAAATAAAATAAAACAAAATTAAATTAATTTACTAGATGCTTTTTCAGGTCATGGTTTTGTTGAATTATTTAAAGCTTAAGTTTTATGGAGCCATCTTTTTTGACAGTGAAAATTTTTTTAAATTACATTACAAAATATAATAAAATAATTATTTAATGTACCAAAAAAAACATTTAAAAAAGTTAAACTAAACAAAAACAAATAAAATAAATTATATAATAAATTGTACAATTTTGTAATTTAATAAAATAACTAAAAAAAATCAAAAATAAATTAATTTAATTTGCATTACGAAAAATTATGAAATAAAATAAACAAAACAAATTAAAATTAATTAAACTAAATTCAAAACAAGAAAAAAAATATATAATTCATTAAATTAAAGTTAATTCAAATAAAACAAAGTCAATTGAAATGAAATGAAATTAAATAAGATTAAATAATCAAACGAAATAAAATAAAAAAAAAGAAATAAAAAATAACACAAAATTAAGTAAAATTAATTAAAAAGAAAAATAAATTAAATTAAACGAAAAATTATTTAATGAAATGAAATAAAGTCAAATAAATAAAAATTAAATAATTAAATTTAATAAAAATTAAATTAAATAATATAAAACAATAAAAAATTATATAGAGAAATTAATATACAATAAAACCAAAAAAAGGTATTGTAAAATAAAACAAAAAAATTAACCAACATGAAATTATGTAAAAAAAATAAAATTTAATGAAATTAAGAAAAAAAAGCAAAATAAACATAAATTAAATTAATTGAAATAAAACAAAATAAACTTAATAAAACTAATCTATACAAAATAAAATTTAATTTAATTTAATAGAATTAAATTATTTTAAATTAAATTAAGTAATTTATAATTATATATAAATAAAATAAAAGAAAATAAAATAATAAAAAGAATTAAATAAATTAAATTAAATTTAAAAAAATTCAAAAATATGATATCAAATAATAAAATTAAATAAAATAAAGTAAAGTAATACAATATGTTATATAAAGAAAAAAAATTCAATAATATAAAGAAATAAAACAAATCAGTGAAAAATAAAAATAAAATAAAATGAAAACACAAAATTAAAAAAACACAAAAAAATATGTAAAGCAACTAAAATTTAATTAGATAAAAATATGAACAATATAAACTTAATTAAACTTAATTATTTATATTAATTTAAATAACATGAAATTAATTAAGCCAATCAAATTGTATAAAGTTATATTAAATAAAACAAAATAATATAAGTAATAAAAAATAATAGTAATAAAATCAAATGAAAAAAATAAAATTAAACAAACACAAAAGAAAATGAAATAAATTAAATGAAATAAAATTAATTAATATAAGATGAAATAAACTATTTTAATTTATTTAAATTAAAAAAATTAATATATTAAAAATTGAATTAAAATTAATTTAAATGAAATTGAGTTAAATAATATAAAATAAACTGAAATTAATTTAAATAAAAAAATGAAATTAAATTAAATTAAAATGTAATTAAATATTTATATTATTCAATTCAATTTAATATAAAAAATATCATAGAGTAAAATACTTTGAGCAATATTTTAAATAAAACAATATTAATTTAAATGAAATCAACTTAAATTATATTTAAAATTAATTTTGAAATATAAGATATAAAAATATGATAAAAGGAAAAAACAAATAAAGTAAACAAAAAAAATTAAAAATAAAATGACATAAAGTAAATTTAAATGTAATCAAATATACCAGAATCAAATCAAGTTATTTAAAATAAAAGAAAATTGAAATAAAATAAAAGGAAATTAAGTAAATTAAAATAAATAATAATAAAAGGAAATGAAAAAAATAAATAAATTTTAATAAATTATAAATAAAGTGAAATAAAGAATTCTTTATTAAATATCCATTAAAATAAAATATAATATGTAGTATATATGTATTAAATACGGCGCTGCAATACGGACTGCTCATACATGTATCAGTATATTTTTTAATTTCCTTTTAATGCCATTACCGTGGCACTTAAAAGTATGGACATTTTATCAGAGTGGTAATGACAGTGGCGGTTATTCATAATAAACACTTAATTGTGAAAATACATATTATAATTTATTTTCAATATACCCTTAACTTAGTTCTAGCATCTCCACATTGACGTAAATTCAATTGCACGCGAGAAATTGTGGCGATGGTAATCTGCTTTGACAAGTTAATTACACTGGTCAACACAAGATTTCCTTGAATAAACGACTTTAGATAGATCTCATGGCAAACTCCAGCAATTGGTGATTATAAATCAGCCCTCTTACGCCTGATAATGCTCTTTGTGAAATATTTGTCCTTACTTTGCCTAGGAAATTTGACTTGAACCAAGCAAAGGAGTTTTCAAAAATTAATTAAAAATAATGCACCAATTTTATATTGCAACAAAATAGCACGGGAAACAAACTACTTCTTTCCTTTTGTTGAGCAGTGCTATCTGGGCAGAGTTCAAATGCCAATAAATACATATGAACTTATTCATAATGTCCCTGCATGCAACATATTTTTATTTATATATATATTTTTTTTCATTCTCAAAATTAATTATCTAATGGATTTCACAGTTAATAGTAACTCATTAATTTCTTTAATGTGCAAAAACTTTTAATTACATACAGGCATACATACGTTGTTACATAATTACGTATGTGTTTGTGTATGTTTTTTTCTTTTTTTTTTCGCTAATTTACCACTGTTACGAGTCTGTTCCGTGACATTTATTCAAATTCTATGGATACAATTTCTCTGACATGAAAATAGAAACTTAGAGAGAGAGAGAGCAAGAGATAGAGATAGAGATAGAGATAGAGATAGAGATAGAGAAAGAGATAGAGAAAGAGATAGAGATAGAGATAGAGATAGAGATAGAGATAGAGATAGAGATAGAGATAGAGATAGAGATAGAGATAGAGATAGATATAGAGATATAAAGAGAGCGAGAGATAGAGATAGAGTTAAAGAGAGAGCGAGAGATAGAGATAGAGTTAAAGAGAGAGCGAGAGATAGAGATAGAGAGAGAGAGTGAGATATATAGAGGGAGAGAGAGTGAGAGTGAGAATTGTGTCTCCGCCTTACTAAGATAAACTTAGATGAATTGGCGAGGAATATTGATGCAAGAAGACATGACAACCCCATTAAAGATCACAGTGTTTTGATCCCAGCTTACAGCATCTCCTAAAAGACAAGACTGGATTTAGACGCAAAAGAGAGAGAGATCGACAAAAGCCTAGCATAATCTTAGAATTCATCGTAAGCGAGCCAAGCGACCTTATTGCTGCCTGAGCGTTTTATTTTAATTTTCACAGCACTGCACAGCACTCTGTTCTTTGGCATTCATTTGACTTTATTACTTTGCCCCATCAACTATCTCTTCTTCGATTGCCGTAATTTATGAGCAGAAGTTGTCTTTGCCTATAAAGCTCGAGAACAGCTGCTGTAATCGAATGCGAAAATTTCTTTCCAGCCTAAAAGTGTACCCGAAACGGAATGTTCTGGCGGGCAGAAGCCACCTACTCTATACCGTGGTAAGAATGCGCGGAAGGCGGGCTCATCAGTAACAATTAAGTTACCCATATCTTCACTGAAGGATCTGAAGGTTAGACAGGCACAAGAGCAGAGATCCTCTGGGACCATGCCAATAACTACGATACCTTCAAACTCAATTATTACAACCCTGTATTATGTGCGTCTGGACTATCGCGGGAAAACGCGGTGAACATCACTTGAATTCGGGGTCACACGTTTGTAGAAGACTATGAAATGGTGGACAAGCTAGCTCGCGTTGGAGCCGCTGACGAAGCTGTCATCATCATCCTGCTGCATTTAAAGGCACTAATTAAATGTGGTTTAATACAGTGGACCATGGAGAGGAACATACGGTCTTGGAACTCTTTCAATATAGGACGTAGCAGTAATTTATTGTGGGACTGCTTGGATAGAAAAGGCGGTGAACATCACTTGAATTCGGGGTCACACGTTTGTAGAAGACTATGAAATGGTGGACAAGCTAGCTCGCGTTGGAGCCGCTGACGAAGCTGTCATCATCATCCTGCTGCATTTAAAGGCACTAATTAAATGTTGTTTAATACAGTGGACCATGGAGAGGCACATATGGTCTTGGAACTCTTTCAACGTAGGACGTAACAGTAATTTATTGTGGGACTGCTTGGATAGTAGACAGACCAAACTGTCAGTGATATTAAGCAAAAAAGAGCTCAGCTCTCTTTTAGATACTTACCTCTGAGATATCCTCGCCATAAACAAGGTAAATAGGAATTGACGGTATGCAGAACATTCACAGAGAATGATGAAATGCTGGAGCACTATCCTTGCTGGTGTTCGATCTTAAAAAAAATAAATTTCCCGAAACTGTCTGTTTTAATGTAGTTGGCGCTCTGTAACCGCTGAAGCGATTTTCAACCGCGATCCTCTTCTTGGCGATATCTATTCACCACCGAGCTCATACGATTTAACACTTTTGGACTTTTTTTATGGGGCTAGGCGAAAGCTCGTGTCAATGCGGATAAATCTTTTACTATTGACCACCCGAGAGCCAACACTCGTCAGTTTATGGCTGCGATACCACCCAATAAATATAATATGTGTGTATAAAAAGTGGTCGACAATTACGGATCGAAGTTTGGGAAAGTTCCCAAGGCGATCATTTGAATGGTGCAGTGTTTCACAGGACCTAGGTTCGAGATCTATTTCACAAAATTATTTCATTAGCAAAATTCTTTTAAATGCATTTTATTTATGTTTATTTTCGAAACCGCCAATGGATAATCCTCTACTTGTTGATATTTTTCTTACTGAATTCAGCTAGAAATAGTTACAATTTAAAAATAATCGGCTCTAAGTGAATGCATCGAACTTCAAAGATTCAAAGAAGGCAGCAATTACTTAACTTGCGCACTTTTCCGACGTCAAATCAACTTAGCCATTCAAAGTTTCACCCACCAGCAGACGCACGCAGAGTAACACAAAGTATGAAAGTGAGTATTTTGCCCAACGGAGGAGGCAATCAGTCGTTGGGTCGATCGGTCAGGCGAGCAAACAAAGTGACTTTGACAACACGTAGAAAATTGCATTGGAACGTTAAATGCATAAAGTTTTGCTTCTTTCTCTCTTTTTTTTCGGCTCTCTTTCATGCGATTTTTCGTTGTGCAAAAGCCTCTTCCTACTAAATGTGCACACATGAAAGGGACTGCGTATTGAACGGAACTTTAGCAAACTATTGAAGCGTTTTTCTTTTGCCTTTTCTTGTATTGGAGCAGAGAGTAAAGGGCTGAGCTTGATTGGCAACTGTGCGAGAGTAGTTTTCGGGAATTCAGGAAGATTGCTTAGGTTTTTTTTTCCAACGCATTGAAATCGTTTAGGACAATAACGAGCAACAAAAAATGTGTATTTCGAATAACAACAAACACAATGTTGGTAGAGTAAAAGCAAAGAATGGCAAAATAGCTTTGTCGGCCGTCAAAAGTTCAGAAAACAGCACGTCCGCCAGTCAAATGTCGGCTAAGTGTTGAATGACCCACCGAATGGCGAACTAGAGCTGGGCTGCTGACGAGTTGCTGACTCGGCTAACAGCACTGTTGCTATTGTTGCTGTTGTTGTTGCTATTTACTGTTGATTGGCGGCACTATTTGGCATGTCCAAATGATTTTTGACCAAAACACGCCACTCAACCACACATGCAAACACACAACTCATGCTGTGCATTTTCATATTTACTTCCACTATTCACAGACAACACACACACACACACACATATATACACACATGCATTCACACATAATTGCTTAGTCGAAATTTGCAACTATTGAATAATTTCTGCTTCTCCACCCTCTCTCTCTCTCCCTCTCTCTCTCACACACACACAGTTCGAGCAATTGGCCTTCACATGGATGGAACGCCAGAAGCTGGGCGGTAGCTACTCTTCGCATCGTGCGCAAAGTGAAAAACATGTCGTCGTCTGTTCCACCACACTGCACGCGGACACAATCATGGACTTCCTCAATGAGTTTTATGCACATCCCCTGCTGCAGGACTACTATGTGGTGCTGTTGAGTCCGATGGAGTTGGACACTACGATGCGTATGATATTGCAGGTGCCGATTTGGGCGCAACGTGTCATTTACATTCAGGTGAGCGTCGCGGTGAAACGTCCATGCATTTCATTGTGTCCAGTTGTTCGCAGTGTTTGTTGTGTAGTCTCATTGTAATTTAAGTTCATCGCGGCTGTTCTGCCTCAGTATTTAATGGAAAATTGTTTTCTGTTTTTTTGTCTCTTTTTTTTTTTTGCTTTATTTGTTTCATTGCAGGGCTCCTGTTTAAAGGATGGCGATTTGGCACGTGCGCGCATGAATGAGGCTGAGGCTTGTTTCATACTTGCCGCCCGTAATTATGCCGATAAGACTGCAGCCGACGAGCATACGATATTACGTTCGTGGGCGGTTAAGGATTTTGCGCCGAGCGTGCCGCAATATGTGCAGATATTTCGGTGAGTGGAGGAAAAAATTAATTTTTTTTCATTTTTTATGAATTTGAACGAATAGTTGAGGAGCGAGCACGGAATTGTTCACTATGACCGCTATCTTCCAACTTGCATATCTAGTCCTTAACTAGACAGGTCAGGATTGGCTGAAGGGGACCGCAGAAGAATTGAACTGAAAATTGCTCGCCGATATAAACGGCTCTATGAAATCCACACGAAGCTCGAACGACTCCTATGTAACACACTTTTGGTCAGAGTTGGAATCGGTTCTGCTGATGTCCATTTCATGCTGCCAGAAGAATAGGCTAAATCTTAAAGGATTTTTAACCGCACTAAGACTTTTGTTCAACAGTCCATACACTTCCAAAGCGATCACAGAAATATGGATACATAAAAGTAGCATTTCAGCTCATTCGGCGTACACTGAAAATTTTGGGAGCCGTTCTAAAGCGACCTGGAAAAAACTGTAAATCTCTACATATGCGGGGGAGCACAAAAACGGAAACAACAAATTGGAGTAGCAGCTCGGTCGAATATAAGTCTGCCGATTTCACACAACATCCAACGAATTCTTGGTAACCAGTAGAGTGAAGAGTGAAGACCGATGGAAAAGCCACAATTTAAAAATCCAGTGGTCACGGCTAAACTGCTAGCTGATACTAGACTATCGTGTTTCCAAAGGATATGCTATCTACACGTATGCTTATCTTCATTCCCAGAAACTTTGCTGTTTTTGGCGGGGGTTCGAGCGGTATTATAGAGCATTCAGAAAGTTTTTCTACAATATTCATTATCCTGACTGCGGCTCTTATCTACTCACAGTTTCTCTAAGGGCAGGTCAAGGAAACGAGGTTTTGAATTGGCTTGGGCCAGAAGTTGAGGGTTGGTGTGTGTAGATTAATTGGGTTTACCGGGCATGCAAATCGTTGGGTATATGAGACTAACTCAAGAAAGTACGCACAGAGGCTCTGTAGCTTATATCAGTTGGTCAAGATTATAGTAACAGCCCAAGAGGGAGAACATCCCGGTTGATATGACATTTCCATTAGCTCAGTCGTTTTGTTCTTGCACAGTCTGTACTCCACAGATGCGACGTTACATGGTTTTTGGAAAAAATAACTCAGGATCTCACTTGTGCTCAGCATGAGTAATATTTTGAGCTTGCTGAAAATCATTCTGCATAGATTTCCAAGCTGACTAGACTCCTAGATGAACAAGATGGACGTATATCCCTTGATAACTCTCTGGTCGGGCGACTATATATTCAGTACTCTTAAGTGCTAGAGCCGCTCAGCTATGTGATTTACTTTCAAACTATCCAAAATGAAATGTCGAGTAAGACTGCAGTTAACTAAGCCCAACCAGAGAAAGGAGGGTTCTTCAGGCTTTTATGCTGCTGCAGTATCTTCCAATGGAGTAAATAGCATAGCAGGAAACTTACTTACACCTAAGAATAATGCACACCTACGAAGAGAGTCAAGCGGCCATTGAGGCTTTACTTTCTTATGTCTCCAATTTTTCAATGGTGCTCTATGTAAGGATTAAGAGGCTTGGGGAGAAAAGTAAAGTACAACTTTATTGGGCACCAGAGCATTAGGGCGTCGAAGATAAAGAGATAGAAAATGAATTGTCGTTTCAGAACAAGAGGACAAGATAAGGAGCCATCGACTTGAGTCAAACTCGCACAAGATTTTGAGTACTTACAAGAGGATCCTGTAAAAATTAATTGTCACCCCGAAAGTTTTTCAAGTTCTTAACAGCTTGCAAAGGTCAAGCTTAAGCCCGCCGGTAACTCTATAGATATGATGTCGTCTAACGGAGCACTACTTAGGAACTATTGTGGACCTGAATTCTCTCATTTTATGTTTTTTGTATTTCAAGTCTTCTCGTTCTCTAGCCTTAAGACTGTTTTGCTTACAAAAGGTCTTGAAAATCCACTCAGGCCACTCCGAGAATATTAGTCTGTACTAGGAATCTCTGCTTAATCGTGAACGAAATAATTAGCTATCGAGTATCATGAGAATACAATGTGAGTATGAAGAGAAAAAAAAAATAAAGAAATAAAAATGAAAAGAAAATAATAAAATAAAAAGTGATAAGAAAATAAGCAACACGTTTCTCTGCAATAAAGACCGAGATTATTTCGCATCAAAATTTAAGCATGGCAGACAAAGCTTCTCCTCGACCAACGACAGCCACTTGCATATCTCCTTGAAAAATTTACAGCCGACGTGACCTCAATCTATGCAAATACGAGTGTAATAAAAATACAGGGTTACCTATTTTGCGAGTTCGAAAATGAATCAAGAAAAATGCATTGAAAAAAAACTTTGTTCACGAAATGACTTTTCTATTACAGAGCTTGAACCTTGGCGCTGTCTGGGAAACACCAGAACATTCAAAAGACCGCCTCAAGATTTTTTAAAAAATTTCGATTAGCAATTTTTGAGCACTTTTTAATACTTATTGGACGAGTGTTGGGTTGGGTTGCTCAAGAGATGAAGGTTTATAGGCATAAACACGGTATTTTGCGTAACCCCACAGAAGGGTGCTACAGGGTCAAATCGCATGAGCGCTGTGGCCAATTGACGTCGTCACCAGGAAAGACTTAGCGGGCTAGGAAATTTCTCTCGCTGTATGGTATGAGGCGACATCTTTTTGAAACCTTCAATTGACGCTAAGAATTGAAACTGACAGTCTCTTCGTTATTGTTTTCAAAGAAGAAAGGTCCAACCAGTACCACAGAGGAGCATGCCAAGCGAAGCTCTAAAAGTAATACTCAATTTCTAACTACTGGACTTGGTCGTATGTCAGTCGGCATAAACGACAGCAATTCGTTTAAGAGAGTCAAATGGAACCACTCAGCTATCGGGGCACTCTCTAATATACGATAAATGCGATTTCAAACCAAGTTAAACAGATCGATCTAATTATACTAAGTAATCTACCTCGCATCACGAATTCTCAGCAGAGAAGAATGGGTAATTGATTTCCATACTCCAAGTGACAGCCTAAAAATACACAAAGCTTGAGGAAAGGGAGTTGGCGGAGGTGCTCCGATGGAACTTTCTTTCATACTGCCTAACCATTGCAGCATCGTCATCATCCAGCGGAGATAATGTATATCATGGAGATTGCAAGGCAAACCTTCATTTTCAGCGAGAGTCAAGAAACAATGAAAACACTGAGCTCGCTTATGTTTAATACCAAATTAGTGTTGGACTGTCGCCAGTCTCTACAGGAGATGGCCAAACAGAACAGTCTGTCTCTCACATGTGTCACAGTGACCGCGAAGGACCTGTAAAGCGCATGAGCTTCCAATGCCAGGTACGACCAAGCAGGTTCTTCTCTATAAAGAATGCATTGATATGATTCTTGTCACTTGCAAACTGCTCCTCAAAAAATTTATTTTTGCTTACCTCCTTAAAAGGGGAACAAGTCCAAAGTAACTGAAGTTCTGAGAGGACAATCTCTGATAAGAGACGTAGGAAAGGATCACTCATCTCTAACCTCTGCGGTTTAGGGGCTCAAGAATTTATCCGTGGTAAGGCATGCCTGTCGTAAGAGTTGACTAAAATCCAATAGTTGCCGCAACAGTCAGGTCTTTATACCGGAACGACCCGGATTTTTATAAGGCCAAGGACTGTCACTCCCGCAATACTCCCCAAAAACCAATGCGGAGAATAATTTGCGGTTACAACAACAACAACATCACTCTTCTCTTATGCAACTGTCTTGTTTTGAGCAGAGCTCGGTTTCAGAATTTCCGTACCCTACTGCTGGATGATCTATCGAAGAAAGCTGACATCAAATTCTTGCATCTAATGAGCTTCATTAGAGAATCAAAATGGCTGCATAATGAAGCCTTTGGTCAAGTTTTTGTGGCACCACAAAGGCTCTTAGTCAGGCCTAAGTGAATTCGACAAGACATAGATTGTTAGCCACCACAAACTCATTTTACTTAAGGTCAAATCAGACCTCCGGTGCAAAGAGCGACACCGACAATAACAATTTTTTTTGGCGTAATGACCTGTCTTCAGAATATTTGAAGCTTACCGTTCATAACAAGTTTATCTCCGATTTTTGCCTGATGCCAAAACACAGCGTCGTACTTTTGAGACCACAAAGTGGTTACCCCTATGCAATAAAAAATTCGAAAAACCAAAACAAAAGCGAATGCATCACTCGGTTGAGCTGCCGAAATGGACGTCATTAATCTTGCTAAGCATCGCCGACAACAACAGTGGCGACCGTTGGCGAGCGTTCAAAAGACTCGGAATTAAATGGAACGACGCATGGCGGGTTTTGGGCGTCAGTGTGAGTGTACACACAATTAGAAGCGTTGATAAATGGACGCTTACATTGAATGGTTGCGGACGAAAGAAATAATAGGAAAGGTTAAAAAGCGGTGTTGAGTTGGTAGGTTCAAAAAATCCCTTGGCTACTTGTTTAGGCGACCACAGTTGAGTTTCCCCTTAATTGCAGTTGTTTATCTTAATATGTATGTAAATATTTATTACTATATATATATGTATGTACTGCAAACTGAACTAGCAAATTTCAAATTTCAAACTTCAATTCAATTTATTGTTTTCTTTGTTCTTTTCTATGAATTTCTCATGAATTGCTGCATTCGACCGTGGATCAACGAAAACCACGCACCCGCACCCGCACCCGCACGCCGACGCCATCACAAATGCTGGACCACTTAAACTAATGCATAACAATAAACAAAAAAAAAACAAAAACAATAACGATAACTGTACATTCTCATGCTGGCAACAATTGTAACAATTGTGACTGAATTTGTATGGATTTTGGCAACTGAATCTGTGGTGGCCTCGTCCGCACGAACCATGCCATTACTGGTTCACTTATGGCGGTGCGCGTTACTTTTTATTATTGTTTATTTTGTTCGTTGCTTGTTTTGTGGCAAACAATTGCAACAACCGCTCGTTCGTTGGACCTCGAAAAACCCCGAAACCACGAAACCGCAGACCGGAGCACAAACTACACGTGAAATTCGCTGAGCATGTCGTCTGCGAGGATGAATTCAAATATGCGCTCTTAGCCAACAATTGCACTTGTCCCGGTGCGAGTACGTTGGTCACATTGTTGTTGCACACATCACGAGGACAGTAAGTAAACAATATGGTTTTTAAATATTTATTTTTTCTCTTTTGTAAATTAAAATTGCCCTCATATGAAGGAGAAACCATTTTTTTTAAAACGTTTTTTTAAACGAAAATAAATAAACGATAAATTGACGCTTTCCAAAAATAATTATTCACAAAAAATAATTCATAACAAAAGCTCAGTAAACAGACAAATAACGTGATCTAATCGGTTACAAACACATTACTTGGTATCTAATTGAAAACTGGTTCATCTGATATCAAACAATATTTAATATCTTTAAATAAATTTAATTTTAGTACTTTCTCACCAGTAGCAACAGCTACGACACGCACTCATTACTTTGTATCTAGTTCAAAAACTACTCAGCCATTATCGAAAAATATTGTTTAAAAATTTTTAAATTTTTTGGTTGCTCTTTTAACACTTGAATTTCCAGAAGGGATTAAACGACTCTAATCGAACATCAGGGCCAATAACTGGACTTTGTTTTAAAGATGGGCAAGTGACCGTGATTTCGAGAGACCCAATTTTCGACCACTTTAACTATGTCAGCAATACCACGCTGAATATTCTCTCCCGAGAAGTCAATCGGCTTGGGCTTATCTGCGTAGACAAGCGACGTTATCTAACCTGCACAAAATTGTCAAGCAGTGTTAAGTCACAGAATCTTGTAGACCACGCTACTGGCTCATGACCCAAGATAATACGCCAAAAAAAAGAATTCCTTCAATAAATTGATTTTTTCGTCGGCTGTGGGGCATGTAGTGTCGTCTAATTGAATTCAAACCGAAAATCGATTCGGAGAATATTGTTTAGTTACAACAACAACAACAGCAACCAACTACAAAAGAAGTATTGTCTAATTGAAAACCGCGCGTATAAAGAACATGCAATGATGACGCTTAAATTTTCCGCAAAAAATGCTTACGTCATCAATACATTACTTTGCAAGTGGTTTAAGAACTGGTTTACTTAACTAATTTCGAATCATATTATTATTAAGACATTTTAATTTTACTAATTCTCAAGAATGATGCTTAACTTCACTATTGGTTTTGAAAATTGTTAGTCTTCTCTCCTCAAAAAAGATCCTTAGCTTCTCCCTTGTAAACTCAGGGTTTATGTTATTACGACGCACATGCTTTACTACTTACCTTATTCGGTTTCGAAAAATTTATATTCCCTTATTTTATATCTTATTTCTGCTTGAAATGCCACCAAAAAGCCGCTGAAATAAAAAACACTCGTTTTTCAAACTAAAATTCTGTGTATGAGACAGATTGGACAAGAAAGGTATCTTCGGCACAACGAAACATCCTCAAATAATTTGCGGCTGATCGTCTACGCCGAGACCCAAGTACTCATTAAACAGCTCGGTATAAGCATTTCAAACTTCTTAAGTAAAGGACGGGGCTCCCCGATGAGTTTCTGGTAGAGTTATTCAGGTGTAATGATAAATCTTTAGTACATATCCATGCATCAGCTTCTTTGCAGAGAGATAACCTAAGTTAGCTTTTCCTATTCCAAAAAAACATGGCACCGAATATAGCAAATTTTTAGACCTTATCAGAAAGATTTCAGACCTGAACCTGATCTGAACGTCTCAATAGATATTCATCTTATTCAAATGATGAAAAAGACATGAGAGAAAAGAATCGACAAGCATCACCTCCACCTCTACTTCTTTTGTGAGCGAAAAGGAACTGCCTCTCGACCACTATGTTAATTTGTTATCCACGCAAATAATATACGGCTGTGTAAGCGTATGAAAAGAAAGACCAGCTCCAGGAGAATCGGGAAAGATTTCTCCGAGTTCCTCGATACCAAACGTGGTTTCAGACAATAATAAGAGCTACTGAGCTAAAGAGATAAGGAACAGTGATAATAGTGACATCGTTGGTCTCAGCAACCGCTCCGCTAGTTCTGTTTTCTTCAGACTAAATAAGCAACCGAGGCGCATAGACTTGGTAATAAACAATTTCTCAGCTTTGCTTCCTTTCAGTTTATACTAAGCCGCCTCCAAACGACTGATGGTTTTTTTACGAGGAGCCTATATTTCATGTCAGAAGTACACTCGGAGGGGTTGACATTACCATTAATAAAGGTTTCCCTTTTCAACGTTTTATATAGAAACTAGACTTCCTCAGACATACAGATATGGTTACAAATAGATCCCTTTCCGATGTAGACCTACTTTAATCGAAAAAGTAACCTTTTCTACCTTCATATATGTATTGAGCCATTTTTGTGCATTCCATTCAGTTCTGCTCCCTTGCGGAACTTTGTAGCGATTTCTTCCACCTCTGAAATTTGCATTAAACTCTGGTATTTCATATAACCTAATTCAGTCTTCAGTTAAAAAAAAATTCGATTTTCTCTCATAACCAAAAAAATAAAAATATTCTGAAATCCGTCAAAAAAAATTAAGAACACTGAAATTATTGGCTTTTAATTATCAATTATTTATTTATTTATATTTTTTATGAAAATTAATACATTTTCGCAATTTACACAGATATATTTTGTAGTCGTGAAAAAAGCGTCTTTTCACGAGTTTTAACAGATTCTGAAGTACTGTAATTTTTGGGATCAATTTCCTTTCTGGTAAGTTCCATCCAGAGTCGCTCCTGTTGTTTGCTTTTCACTTCTGGCATTCTGCTGCAATAATTGCATGCTGTGGTGTTTGCAGGTGTATCCTGTGGTGGGTTGGTCATGATGTCGCTCATAAAACGAACTTCTGACATTTTTTTTTCGTTTTTATATCTTTTTTTTTTTTGTAATAAAGAAAATAACTCCGCCGCTAACAGCTGTGTTGGAAATTAGTTCTGCTACAACTAAATTGTCTGCAAGTACCAAATGGTATTTAGGTTTAAAGCATGAACTTTATGCAGACTTTTATATCCTCAAGAGACAAACCGACGAAAAGAGAGCAAGAAAAATCGCACATTACATTGAGTGAGAAGGCTTGAGAGGCCTGAAAAATTGCTGATATGTATGTATATATAACTCACCTAAGCTCTCCTAAAAATAGCGCAGAGTGAGAGCGAGATGATTAACCCAGCATTAAAAATACTAAAAATTACAGAATAAATGTTGTAATGTTAAAAAAAAATTGTTTGCAAAAAAAAATTTTAATTACAAATTAAATAAGATTTCTTACCACACTTTTTTGTATGTATAATATTAATAAATATTATATTTATTTATTTTCTTGTTATTTATGTAAGGAATACTTTTTTGATATAACATAGTTTTGCAGCTGTTTTCTAGCACGGGGATAGAAAAATAAATTGATATACAATTTTCAACATATAAAAAAACTAATTGGCAATTTTATTAATTTCAAATAACTTCCATATTTTCTAATTACACGGTGTGTCCTAAAAATAACTGAACTTTTTGGATATAAAATAAAATACACATTATATTATTTTTGAAAGTTATTATTTATTCAAAATAGTTTCCATTTGACTCAACACAACGTTTGGAACGATCAACCAGCGCATGCATAGATTTTTTTATGTCTTTTATAGAAATGTTCTTCAGTACCTCGGTTACGGCTGCTTGAATGGCTGGGATATCATCATAAAATGCTCCCTTCGTTTTGGTTTTCGGTTTCGGAAATAAAAAATAGTCACATGGTGATAGATCAGGCGAATACGGAGGATGGTCCATGAGAGAAATCCCTTTTTTCATTAAAAATGCGAGCGTTTTTTTGGTCGCCACTTAATACATGTGGACACAGACCTTTCTTTTCTTTTCCCCAAATATTCAGTTAAAATTCTCCAAGTAGTGTTTTTACTTGTATTCAATTCCTCAGCCAACATTCTCGTAGTAAAATTTGCATCGATACCAATGATTTGACGGACTTTTTCCACCAGTTCAGCACGATTACTAGTTTCTGGACGTCCTGCTCTAGGGTCGACATTTAAATCCTCACGACCATTTTTAAATCGTGTAAAGCAGGTATATACTTTCGTAAAACTCATACAATCATTACAATAAACTTTTTTCATTAATTTTTTTTTTCAAGTTTGACACAAAATTTTATATTTGCTCTTTGTTCCATTTTATTTTTGAACCATTTGCACACTTTTTTGGTTTAATTGAAATGGCTGTCACTTTTACATCTGTCATCCGACTGACATGATGTTAGCTGCGTTTGAAAGAGGATGAATGTATCTTTTTAATGTTGCAAATTTTCAATAGATGGCGCTGTATGTTGTATGATTTATATTATAAAGTTCGGTTATTTTTGGAATACACCGTGTATTATCTTGGAATTTTGATGTGGTTTTACTGAATTTGGTGTTAAAAAATATTTTATTAGCAATAGAAAACTTTCTAGTAGATTATTTCATAAGAAAACCCAATATTCTAGAGGAAAGTACTTTGCTAAAACGTGTTTTTCAAACAACTTCAAGGCTGACTATTCTTTTATAAATAAAAACCAATAATATTTACATATACGTTGTCATTTTTTTTTTTTTTTTTTTTTTTGCTTAAATCAGCCTTAGACTGTTTGGAATTCATACCAACAACATTATATTTATTTATTTGCCCTAATGAATTAAAGAATTACAGAAATAAAACGAGTAACAACTATATTTTTTCACACTTAATCTTTTTGCTAAAGCAGAGGTCGTAGCCCTCAGAGGGTGTACCGAGTGTCTCGAGCACTTCCAAACAATTGATGTTTGTGAAGTAGAAATTAAAAAGCTCTTCATGAAGTACTTTCCTTTCGAACTTGGGGTAAGCGCATTATTGATGTTACCTAAATATGGACTTCGCAGGAATGCAGAACTTCTTATTACAATGTGAAATTGTCGGTAATCAAAGCGACTTGTTGAACTTTTTTCACCGCGATCTTTCGCTTCTGATACCGTAGCTGGTCTAGACTTGAAGTCTCACTTAGCCGGGTGTGGTTTGTGGATACAAACAATGAACGTGTCTCGGAAAGAGGTCAATCACTGCTCATAGACACCACAAACTGTTTCAG